GGCGTTGGTTTGTGCAGCCCGCCTTCCAGGTTGGGGCCCAAGGTACGAGAATTGTCGTTGGTTAGAGACGCTGAGAGATATGATACAGAATAGAAGGCAGTGGCGCAAATGCTTTACGGTCTGTCTGTCTGTCAAAACCCCGTAAAAACAAACAAACAGAACGAAAGATTTAAAAAAAGTGTACGGTGAGGCACAAAAATTGTTATTCCACTTATTCGTAATCTTCCCTATATTCTGTATCCCAACCCCCGGCCCCCGCGTTATTGTTACTATTAATATTGTTGTGGGGCGTTGGTACCATGCTTGTTCTCCAGCCGGCGTTATATATATATATATATATATATATATATGCTGATTAAAGTTATCTGTCCAGTTAGGAAAGTATACGCTTACCAACTAAAAGGCGAATGTGAATTACATTCGAGTGATCAGGTTTAATCTACGGTTTTTAGAAGCATTCACTGAGCATAAAAGACCTAATAGGAGGAGGCAGAAGATCAATGAAAAAACCATTCATCCAATTAGTTTTCAGCTGACCAAACGATTGAAAATGATTGGATATTCGATTGGGTCGATTAAATTAGTTCTCGACGGGTCAGGATAAGCTTTATATCTCCGAAGGATGAATTTACACTAAATAAAGACCTTCAAAATGGATAGTAATGTAAAACAATACTTGGTCCAATAAAAAGGGGGAGGAAAATAATCTAACGAATAAATTTGCATATTTTTCTTGCATAGAGCAATCGAAGTTTGGGAGCTGAAAGATCGGGAAGTACTGTAAAGCGGCTTTGACGTGGCTGGGTCTCATTATCAGTGCGAATTTATCGACCCAACTGAGGATTGCGAACCCGGGACCTCACACAGGTATATCGTGTATAAAGAAAAAAAATACAGCCAGAGCACTTGCCCGGTGATCCAGTGGGTCGCATGCTCTTTATCTTAATATATATCGCTGTGTGATGAACAGCAGACGAAGTAGACCCCATAGTCATGTGGACCTGCTATTCAGTAATGGTAACCGGCGACCTAAACCCCGAGATTTTTAGTGGCGAACCACATAAGGACCCGACAGATTAGGCGTGGTAGAGAACCGGGAGACAGCAGAGCTGCTTACCACCTAAGTTTGGTGGCGGGGGTCGAACCTGGAACCACATGGTCCAAAGCAGGCCAGTGACGACTAAACCACTGCGCCACCGCCACCGTTGGGGTGCAGGATTTTGGCCTCATTTGAGTGGATGGATTCCCAGTGCTGATGAGATCGAACGGGGGTTGAAGCAGCTGTACTGTGAATGCTTTCTGAATTTTCAGTTCATGCTTCATTTGATCTGTGCTCGACGAAACTCACGATCTAATCGAATCAAATTTATCACTACTCTCAATTTTATCTTGAAGAATGCGAAACAGTCTGGTGCAGTTTATCAAAACCCGAGCAAGATAAAGAACTGTGAAGTTCCTCGAAGCAGCGTTACGAGTAGACAGAAGAACACGTCGAATTTTTTCCCCACTGTACCCTAATGCATGCATGGTTGGAGATGCTAGATGACATGACACCGAGTTGTGCATAGTAAGTGACGGTTAATGGATGATTCCCTAGCAAACGAAATACAACACATTTCCCACATACCTTGCTTCCAACAGTAGCGCCAAAGCAGACAAACAACCACACCAAGATAAGGCGACCAACTGTTCGCCAACCTCCGACGGTTTTGGTTCCGCATCTGTTTTGTCTTCAGGAGTCGGCTGTTTGTCGGGATTCCCATCTGCAGTGGCCGTGCGAGCCGAATTGGCCTCATGCGCAATAATCTCCAAAGACTGGACAATGCGGGTAACACAAGCGACCGCAACCGACAGGCAATAACCATCGGCCAGAACCGGGGGCTCGCCTCGGTCTAATAGATCTAACCTTCAACCGAGTAAGAATAGCGGATGATGGATTGAACAGGTGTGATAAAAAAACAAGCTGATAATATATGAGTTTCAAGATTTATTAAGAGCAAATATGGATCGAAACAATCCGAATTTTATTCTCGCAAGGTGATTGATATTCAAAATAATCGAGGCGCGATCTATACGTGAAATCGGAAGGAGGACAATTTTGGTTTTCGTTGGGACATAATGTGAAATCTGACTTTCTAATAGTTAAAATTAAACATTATTATTCATACTTAGCTTCATCATGGTCGACAGTTAAATGAGAGTTTTGCCAAACGTAACAACATCAAGTAAGATAATAATAGGGGTATTCAAACAAATGTAAAAATTATGAAGCCAAAAAAGATATTGAAACTACACATAAATTCAAATACAAGAAACAACTTTAACCGGGGGTAAATTGGTCAATTTTTAAATTACATTGAAACCACTCCCCCCCCCCACACACACACACACCCGGGGCAGGGGGGAGGGGCGAACTGGACCACATTGGGTCCTCACGGTTAGACAGTACCGAAATGATACATGCATCATTTGCGTGTCCGGTTTTTGACAACGCGTCATAGTCTGTTGTCAGGGCTGTGCCGTCGCGCGATTCAGTGGCATGACCATCCCATAACTACCCTAATGGAGGGTTTAACACTCCAAGTCCCAGAATTTGGTCAAGTCAATTGAAGTCAAGAATAAGCTATTTTGTTCATCATGAACTCATTTTCAGTGAACAAAGTTAACTTATTCACTTTGGCGTAGATTAACATAAAAACGGTACACGGTTGGATAGTATTATGTGCAAAAGAGGCGACAAGGAGGAAAAGTTGTGTTACAGAAAGTGAACTTTCCAGTAAACACACACATGGGCATTTGTTCCAGTTCATCGGATAATCGTTTCCCGAAAAACCAGTAAACCAATCGGACAGGGTGGAAAGCGAGTGTGAATGGCTGCGCAGTGAGGATATGAAGTTTAGAATTAATTGCGGGGCGAGATTGTGGGCGTGTACTGTGCGCGCGCGAGTGTGTCCAATCAAGATAAAATCCTTAAACAAAAGAGCCAAAAGGGATGACCTAGGGAACAGTACGTGACATGTGACACAAACCGCAAGAAATGACGCTCAATGGCACCCTCAAATAGTGCAGATGTAAACTGTAATAGATCATCTATCTAGCCGAATTCAACGTTTATTGTAAAAGATACGACCCTTTCAGTTTGGAAAAAATAAAGCACACACATATACAAGGTAACTGAATCGATGCGGTTTTTAAACAACTCAGAAATTGATAAGCATACCGGAAAAGGGTGAAAACTCGGTAAACATAAAAGGAACAAAGTCGAAACGCGAAGAAATTTCTTTTGATATCTCGCTCCAGGCATTTACATATATAGTTCGATTAGTCAGTTCATCGTGTCAAACGAACATTTTGCGTACAGACATTCGCTCAACTTCAGCCTAGGCCTTGGATTAATCTACTGATTAATCGAACTACATATGTAAATGCCTAAGGCGAAATATCGGACAGAAATTTCCTCACTTATCGACTTGTTCTTATGCATCAATGGAAATATTTTATGAATTGAAACATAAAAGGGTTCAGATTATTGGAAAAAGAAGTTCACATAAACAGTAGCTTCCCGTGGCTATGGGGTCTATCTACCAGTTGTGGATTTTTAAAATACCAATATGTTCACTCTGAAATTTCATATCCTGATGGAATGGAGTAACTTTTTCCGAAAAACAAACTACCAGAGGTGACTCGAAAACGTTGTAGATGGGCAAAAGTTTCACCATCTGGCTCAACTCAATCACATATTGATACTTGACAAGCCGTGGGTTCCAAAACGAAACTCAATACCAGATGTGACTCAGCAGTTGGATAAATTGTCCAAAAAAGCTTACGATTCCGACGAATGTTGATTCAGCACGGCAATGTCGTTCGGTTTCTTTATAGTTTAAAATAACCGACATACAAACGCTGCTCGTAGGGGTCAATGGGATGACCATGTTTGTCCTGTTGGTGCCCATTAAAGAGCGATCCGATAGAGAACAATCTCCTTTTAGGGAAACCCACCCGAAGCACTACCGCTAATTCGAACTCGGCTCAGTCTATTCAGTATACGAGCAAGGGAGACAAAAATTCTCTGGCTCATCCACTAGTGAAAAATAGCGACAGAGAACAGTGCGGACATCTGATTTCGGCTACTTGCCCCCACACTACATGCACTCGAAGAGTAAACATGTGATTGATGCAGCCTAGAGCTAGCCTAATGCTTATGTTTCTATCACTCTACTGAAAAAGATGGTCAAGGAGAGAATGGTGCTTATGGGCAGTATTCGAAAAAGGAACTAATTTCCTTCTATAGCAGAAAAACAATTAACCTGTAACACATAACTACATCAAAACTGGGTGAAGGGGAAAATGTTTTTCACTTTAAACTGCAAATCACGTCAGTTGTCAATTCACAGCACCGATGGTTTGACGCTTGAGGCACGTTTATTGACAGTATATTACGCGATCAAAGGCATTGTTTGCATTCTGAACTCATGAAATTCGTAACAACTCCCCGAAACCGCACCAACTATGAACTCCTTCCTGCACGTAGTTCCTAATAGAGGAACAGTGTAATTTCATAGCTGGTTTGCCTCTTGTTTAGAATTGATTTTTCCGTTACCCCTTCATCATAGTTTTCATATATTTATTGCCCAAGTTTGTAAATTGCTGAAAGGCACCCTTTGAGGGTCCAAAGCTTTCCTTGACTTGACTGACCTGACTTGAGTCGTGAACCTGGAATGTCACGCTGAAATAAAACTACGGGATAATTCTCAGATCACTGTGCATTTCATCGACCGAGCATCCTACATAGTAGTGTACCCTTGTGGAATATGGGCCTCAAGTCAGGGTTAAATCACCTAGCTTCCAATATATGCCAGTGACGCCGGTTTACCCAGGTTTATTCACTGAGAGAACCCATCCCTCCCCGTATTCCACACGCTAAAGCAGAAAGTATACCAGCAGTTATCGCTGTGTTCCAAAGGTCCGAAGTTCGAAGCCCATCATCGATACCCGGTTTTAGTAATGAGCAGCTTCACCGTGGTCCGGCTCAGCACTGAGTCCTCATCTAGTGTGGTTCGCCAGTTTAAATCCCGGCGTTCAGGATGCCGGTTTCTATGAGTGAACAGTCAGTCCTCGTGACTATGGGATTCATCCCATCTGTGTTTTATCACACAGTCCAATGAAAATTTCATTGATTGCATAACGTTCGTTTGCTTCCTCATTGATGGTATCAGCGAATATTGCTTACAGTCGAGTCATGTTGATTGAACAAAGTGTTATCAACTATTTGATTTTTTCATTCATCTTGCCCACTTTGTTGAAAGCCCCAATTCGAATGACTCATTGCGTTCTCAACGGACATCGTTGCGACAGATCTAATTTGTCCGCTGTTCAGAATTTTCTCTCATGGGAGGTAAGATGGCATAAACAATTCTGCAAGCATGAATGCACCCGTCTACCTTCCGAATGGTTTCTCTGAGAGATCACTGGTGTCTAACGCGTATGAAATTGGACACATAACATAGAGAAGTATTTGATCACAAAAGAATCGATTGTTGATTGTTTCCTGCCCTGTTATTGTAGTCTCCGGTATACAACTGACTGCATTTCTGTGTTTTAAATTCACAGTATGGGAATGGATGGTTTGGAATCAGGATTTGTAACCAAATCCCTCGAGTGAGCTAACAGTGGTTCACCGATCTGGCTATAGTTCCGAGTGTTGGCTTCTCGTTCTACCACTTTGGTGCGAGTAGAGCTTCCTCAGTAGAGGTTATTTGAGACGCTTGATCGTATACGAGCACTTCGCCAGGTGCAAGGGAGAAGTGACCAGTCACACCCGAGATACCCAACCTCCAATGATACTGAGGTATCAAATCTCAATGGCGCCAAAGTTACTCTGACATTTTTATCCCAATAATATGGACCCGTATTTTTCTACAGTGAATTGGGATGCGACCCTAGCCACGGAGACTTCTCTCTTATGCTAATTAATAGCCTCTAATTTATCACCTAGATCTATGGGTGACTCGCTGTATATCGATTCATGGATGCTTGCGAGTGCAATTCGCTTGGGATGAAGGTTAGATTTCTTTTATTCAGTGAACCTACAGGCTATGTCGCCTAAGTGATTAAAAGTTAAAAGTACATTTGCAATAGCCATCAATGCAGGTGTTAGTGACGGTAGCAAAAACATTTGAATGGTCACAGAAACACATACAGCATTCGGTGAATTCATGAATAATCACTGGCACTCCTAGTCAGAAGTGTTCAACAGCTTGTTGTGAAACAGATAGATGGCCTTTACTTGCTCACCCAGGTGTAACACTG